CTCTTTACTGAGCTATGGTTATACACCTGTGAATAAGACAGAATCTTGCTGACAAGGGCCCTAAAGATTGGTGTGGAACGCTGGAAAATCCAATAGAAGGAAATGAATACAATGGCAAATCTATGCCCATAGTAGAGCCTCTGTCCCAATATGACTGATGTCCCTGTAGATCTGGGATTTTGAATGAAGTAGGTCATCGTTGCTGGTACGAATAAAGAAGGTTTTGAGTTTAATCATCTACTTGTCTTTGTGGCACTCTGTTGAGCTTATTCAGTAAGCCTACCTTTCAGTAAATGATTTAAAAATGTATTAATTGGAAAGGCATGGTTTTTAAAGATTTTGAATTAACCATATTTCATATTATCTAATAATGGTGTAAAATTAAGTCCAGCTTTTTATTACCCCTAGACAATCTCAGGCACTCTTACTCATCTTTTAAAAAACAGAATGACTAATTAATGGCTTATAACATTACAACACCATATTGAAACAACTTTCTGATCATTGTTTTTATAGTTTCGATCAATCTTTTCTAACACATTATAGCTGTGTGAGTCAAAATGAGTAAATCCACAGTGTCACAGTTTACTATTGGGACTGAAATTTGCTCAGGTGCTTTTGGACATGATGCCAAAATATATTCAGTTTTGGCATCCAGTTCATAAGATATCCAACTAGTGAGGAAAATGATGCTAAGTTTGAGACAACTTTACCTTGATTTCTATACTTCATTTCTCCCTTGAGGGTCTCAAAATTACTTTTTCTATGAGAAAGGATAGAGTGTGATCTTCACTGTTGTACTCCTTCAGTTTGGCACAGATTTAGTCACGATATGTGTTAGGAAGTATTTACTGATTAAAAAATGAACCTTCATGTAAGAGGAGGAGCTGTCAGGCAGATGGAGGGTTAGAAGACCCAGCAGAAGAATCAGCCTGTTTGGGATGGACTCTGGCTGGGGAGAGGGCAGGAGAACAGGCTGGGCCAGATCATAGGCCCATTTGCTGTGTTGGAGCTCTGAGTTTATCCTGTAAAGCACTTTGAGCACGTGAATGATATTGTCAGATACATGTTTTAAAAAGAACTTAGAATCAAGATGGAAAATAGATTGAATAAGAACAAGCAGCACTGACCTTTGAGAGATACAGAAGTGATTACTATAATATTCAAGATAAGAAATAAAAGAAGACTTGAGTCATGGAGTAACAGTGAGGAATGGAAAAGAGGGAAGGAACTGACAGATGTTCAGTGGGTGGAACCTGCCACAGAACCCAGAAGCAGACATGACAGTGAGGAAGACCTAGGAGGTTAGAGGTTAGAATGACCCTCACGTTTCTAGTTTATGACTAGGATAGGAACAAAAATGGAAGAGTAGGTTTAGTTTCAAGGATAACGTGGAGCTCACACAGCGTTTGACATATAGTCAGTGCTCATTAAAGCTTCCTGAGTGAATAATAATAATAGTAGCTAAAATTTATTGAGTGCATATCATGTTCCAGGCACTATTCTAGGTTCATTTTGTGAATTAAGTCTTTTACTCCTTATTGCAATCCTGCGAGATAGTTACTATAATTAACTACTTTTGAATGGTGCAGAAAGAAAGTGTGGTGATAATAGTTGTCAACGCCAGAAGTTGATCCCAATATCTGTCTCCAGAGCTTGTATTCGTAACCACTCTGCTGTGATATGCTGTCTCCGTGAATGAATGAATGATGTTTTGGACACTGATAAACTCAAGGTGGAATCACTGTCCTGATCCTGACAATTCTCCCTCATCCAGGAATAGCCCAGTACATGAGGTGGGGCCCCAGTGGTCCTATTGTGCTGCATAGCACCCCTCCCCACTACCTCCATCCCGAGAGATACCTGTAATAAATCTAGAACAATCAGAACATTTCTCCTGGGAGTTTTAAACATTTGAATGGAAACTCCCAGTGACTGCAGGTTCCCAGAGCTTCAACAACTGTGCCCTCATAGTTGCCTAGGTTACTTCCCTTTCCAAGCACTGAATGTTCAGTGTTTTGTGTTTCTTAGATGTGCTCAATGTTTTGTTACTAAGAGCTGGAGGATCCCACCCATGGGGAAGCAGAAAGGCTGGCCAGAGGGTGTCAATCTACAGAGCAGCGTAGATGCTGATGGTGGAAGATTTACTAATAGAGGCAGGTCCACAGCAACTCCAGATCTTACTCCTCGTGTGCGATCTGCCTTCTCGGGGGGCCTGTTTTGTTCTTATTTTACGCTGAAGCAGGTACTTTCCAGCCCCTCTTGTCTCTAACTGCCAGAATCTTGGTAAGTGAGGCTGACCCTGTTGTGTCCCCTGTTTTCTTGATTTTAGCTGGACAAAATGATTCTAGTTTCCTGGGTTCTGGCCCCACCGCTTCCCTCTTCCTCTCTTTCCCGCAAAATCTGACCCCAACTCTTTACTGTTCTCATTGTTCCATGATTCACCCTACTTTGGCTTGGAATAATACAGATTTTTGTTCAGCAGGCAGGGTCTAATTATCTTTTCCTCAGAGGCCTCTATTTTGGACAATGTATGCATTATAAACACGGAATTAATGTTGTACCTAACCAAATCAGCAAACTCACTCAAAGTTTGAGGTTTGTAAAATATTCAGATGTCTAAAACTTGAAGTTTTGAAATGTTTTCTCTACACATGAAGAAAATGTTTCGTTTAACATTTCCTCAGATTTACCAGGATATCTAGATATTTATAGTTTCCCATTATATGAGACTGACATGAAGCTTTTTGGGATGATCCAGCCCACATGTTTACCCCTTGGCCTGAATTCCTGTATGTCTGCCTGTAATCCATTCAGTGCTCAGAGAACAAGAAAGGGAAGGGTTTTGGTTAATATTTCATGTGGGTTTGTCTTGCCTCCTTATTTTGACGGTGGTTTACCTGAGAGTGAAAAATTTCTAGAGTTAGGGGCTCTGTTAGGTCTCTAAGCCTCCTCCCAGGTCTAACCATCCTGTGACTTTTGCTGATAGTGAAACCATCTGTCAGCGTATGTCATTTGCTGGTCACTCCTGAGTCTGTGGATACTAGACATTATTTGTGTATCTCATTCAAGTTCTTTGTAAGGCTCAATAATTTGGTAATTTTTAGTAGGGGGAAGTTTTAGGATTAGTAATTTCCAATTATCCTTCCTGAGCTAATAACATGTTTCAATTACTTTGTGTGTATATTTTTTTCTTTTTAGTGGATACAGTATCAAGGTAATCCAGAAAAGATGATGCTGCTTAGAAAAGTATTCCCCATTTTATATACTCAATTGTTTTACTTGTTTCTCTGTTCAAAGATATAAAATGAGATTTCATTACTCATTGCATAACTTATTGGGTAATGATGTGAATTCTGACTTTTCAGAATAGTGGAAATAGCTCTGTTGCTATTTCATGTGGAAAAAGAGTGTTGTTCTTGCATCTGTTTCAGTTTCAGGACATGCACCAATACATGTCTCCCCTCCGGATTTTGTTTCTCATTTTCTATTATATGCCTGGGTATTCTGATTAGTGACACAAATCTGTTGCTTTAAGATAAAGTAGGACACAGTGTGTGGGCTGAATTGTACAGTGTTAGTAGATAGCCCACTTCTTCCTCCGCTCTTCCCTGATTACCACGTGGTAAACCAACATACAGCAATGTGAGCTGACAAAATTACTCATTATGTACAAAGAACTCTCATATATATTTTCTCTTTTAATTGTCATAAAAGCCTAGCAAAACAGAAATAATAAGTATTATTATTATTGTTGTTGTCTGTATTTGAATTCTATAGATAACGAAGGAGACCCCGGGAGAGATTAAGTGACCACCCAGCATTACCCAGGAAGTAAGTTGCAGAGGTCCACTATACTGTGCTGTCACTACTTGACTAAAAGAGGCAAACTCAGTAACTTAGGCCAAATTTCCTGGAAACAAACTCTGAGATTTACATACAAGAAATGTACTGGGAGATGCTCTAGGAACAACACCTCACAGGGAGAGAGGGCAGCAGAATTACATAGAGGGGGAAATTGAACAGCAGTGCATGTACAACAGTGGTCATTGTATCCGCCACGTCAGCTTGCCATTGGATGTGGGCTGCATCCAGGCAGAAAGTGTCGTCTTGGGCTAAGTAGCTCCCTTCATTCTAGGGCAATTCCTGGAGCTGTGCACCTTTAGCAGCTGACGTTGCTGGCAGCTGGGGGAATGAGGGCCCTGGTCCTGAAGGGGATCATCTACTACATTTGTGTGGAAGAGAGCTTTCTTCTTTATGAGGGCTTTGCTTGTGTCTTTCCGACCCAGACCATTGCCCTGCTGAGTGGAGCCCAGGAAGCTGGCATTTTGTCCAACGCCCTTAAGGACTTAGAATAGCTCACCAGAGAGCAAGAAGACAGTAGCCTTAGTCCTGGGACAATGAGGAGCAGAAGAGTCAGGTGAGGGGAGGCCAGGACGAGTGGAGTAGGGAGCCTCCAAAAGACTAACAATCACCCCAGCTGCCCAGACCAGGTACAGAAGGGTAATGCATGCTGGCCTTTGCTAGAATTCAAGGCTTTGCCATTGTTAAATGGTAAACAGTTTTGTGATATAGGCAACCTTTTCTCTCTTCTCTCCCTCCCTCCTCTCTCTTTTTTCTCTCAGCCTTTGAAAGGCCCTAAACAGGTCCAGTGAATCTCAATGTGTAGCCTGTAGACTCTAAGATCAGAAACCTGGAATATTTTGAAACATCGCCAACAAACAAACAATAAAAAGGAAACAGAAAGGAAAGCCCAGGCCCACACCCACATTTCAGATCTACTGGAACAGAATCTTTAAAAGCGGAGCCCATGAATTGGCATTTTCAACGAATTTTCCCTAGATGACCTGATACATGCTCTGAACCGTTATGCTCTTAATGGTGACCAAGCCTGTTGGGATTTTTCAAATTAGCAAGAAGCCATCAGAACTGGGGAACAAAGGAGCACCTGAGCCTAAATCCCAGCAGGCTTGATACAGTGATGTTCATCCCTTGTCTTTCATAGCATATTCCTGGTGTGGCCAACAGAAAGACTGGCCCAAATTCCTTGGCCAGCCTCCAACCAGGATTGCTGGAGAGAGAGCTGTGTTTCTGGCTTGGCCTTTTACTGTCTTGATAACTGGGGAGGAGATGCCAAATTCCTGGAATAGTTGTAGACAAAGGTGAGCGGCAGCGGTGGGGGGATTGTTGGAAATCGGTGAATTTATAGGAATCAGTGAACTTTCTAAGAGAAAGTTGCAGAAAATCTTAAGCCAGATGATGCTTTGAGATGCTGTCTTAAAATTTTAAATGACCATATAATAGGATGAGACAGATAACAATGACAGGCAAATATATTATCTGATTCATTGAAATAGAGAATAATTATTTTTCTTCAAAGAGAAAAGCACTGATTTTGACTCAGGTCATTGCAGGAAATATTAGTCACCTAAAAAATAATCTGGTAAACTCCTAGGACATTTTGATATGTTTTGTTGACTCCTGCAACACCAAATTGCTGTAGTTCCTATCCCTTCATAGCTTCATGCCTTTGCTCTGCCTGGTTGTCTCTGCCTGGTCCCTTCCCCTTTTCCTTGCCCAGCTAACTCTGGTTAAACCATTTAGAATCAGCTCAGACACCATCCTCTCTGGGAAGCCTTCTGTTCCCCTCATCCAGATTGAGTTCTCCATCTTTCACTGAGCTCCCATGTATCCCTCTATTATTAACATTTATTTTCATTATTCTCCCTACCAGCCTGTGAGCACCCTCAGGTCAGGGACTGTCTTCTTCATCTTTGTGTACAAGAGACGTAGCCTCATCAAAAATGATTGCAAGAAATGATCATTCTGATGAGCGTAGTTAATCAACAGATATCTGTTGAGGCTCTGCCATGTGCCAGACACTGTGTACATGGCAAACACAGCTGGTACAGCCCCTGACCCCATGAACCTGATTGGCAAACCAAAAAGATTAGGAAAAAAGACAATTAACAATAGGATATGATAAATACTGGGAAAGAGGAACTACTGGGAAGTGAGATCAGAGCCAAAAACTCAGCTTAATCTAAGGTCAGAGAAAGTTTTCCATTCTCACGAAACATAATTCATATAAAAATAGAAGCTAAGAGCTTGGCTTTGGTTATAAGGCAAGGGACCTCTTTTTAAATAAAGGAAGATCTTTTGGTCTGCCTAGTTCAAAATCTCTCAACCCTTCACATGCATGTGTGTCTGTGTGTGTGCGTGTTGTGTGTGTCCAATATGTGAGCACATGCATTGGCAAAGAGAGAACAAGAAAATATGCCTCCTTCATTAAATGACTTAAATAGCTGGCAAGGAACAGAGAAGAAAGTTTCTGTGCATCTCATTCAGTGCCATTGCTAGAAGCTAATTTGCTAACATTTTAATATGTAATACACAGAAAAGGAATAAGAATTTAAAGCTCTGAAAATCATGAGCTTATATTACAGCTTTTTAAGAGTTAATTTTAAGAACGATTATGGCCTAGGTGGGTGCTTAGCAGATTTGCCTTTGGGGTTTTTTCCAGACCAAGGCTGAAGTACCTTTGCTTAGAGGTCAGTGTCTGCTCCCCCTTCTCATCTTTCCACTTCACTTTCCTGGCCCTGCCGAGAGAGGATGCCACGCGGTGTTGGAGGTTGTAGACTCTGCCTGGCTAGGCAGCTCATGCTGGGTCCTTTTTTTCCCTTTTATGGCCTGTTCTTGCTCTTTTATTATTTCTGTACCTGCTTATTTCTCTCCATACATTTTAAGCTTAGTTGAGGGCAGGGACTGTGACGTCTCAATTTTTCAATCTTTGAATCTGCTGTGGCTCTTCTACTGCAATTTATTTACATTTATTATATTACATACATAAATAACCTTAAATATAGTATCTTAATTAAGAGACAGTCTTTTGATTGAGAAAGTAACCAGATTGATTCTCCACTAAGAACCTATTTCTTGTCTAACTTGACATCACAAAGCAAATAGGGGCACATTTAACCTATGAATGTTTACGAAGAATTCTGCGCATTTGGCTGATTGTAGGGAAGGGAGGATTAAGTCATCATAGAGCAGCATTTATTAGATATAGCTGGAGATATAGAGTGCTTTGCTGTGTCTCATTTAAGTCAACTTAAACACATCCACACTGAACAGCATCTTAAAACAACATTGATACTGACAAATGGGTTTAAAAACTAGTGCAAGTGAAAATGCAACTCAGGCCTGAAGTGTGATTTTAAATGAATGGACACATGATGTCCCGTGATGACCATTTGCCATGTTTTCTCACATCTTTCCTCCCTCGCTTTAGTATAGTCCTTGGTTTATAAGTGTAACAAATTATATTCTAATTTTTTGTCTTACTTTTACTATGAATGTTGTACATAAGGACTGTATGAGTGGTGAGGAAATAATTCTAAACATTTGTTCTTATACTTTCTGTTTTTCATAATTGGGCTTGTTTTATTGTTGAAGTGTAGGTAATAAATTTAGTTAGCCACTGTGAATCCAACTGAATGCATTTGTAAATTAGTTCAACTTTTATATTTTCATTGAGAATTTTTAAATAAAAGGCTATGGTGGTGAAATGAAATATTTTCTCCTTTTCGAAGTGTAGAACTCTTTAGAGGATGAAGCTCATTCCTTAAAAAATCAAAACTATGGTAGTGTCAGCTCATCTGAAAAGATTAACAGTTGGCAGAAGAAAATTCCCTGCAGTAAGCTTAATTTTCTTGTTACTTAATTGGAAAATTTCTCAAGTTATTAACTGCCTTTTGCTGAAACTTAAGAGTGCTGTGGACGATCTTCCTTTCTGTTGACATCTAGATACCTACACCTACCACTGACAGCAGCATAAACACACAATAAGTATTTTCCTTTTGTTTTTCCCATGTGGTGTTTGTAACTAAAACATAGGTAAACCTTGTATTCTGACTTTTTTCCTTCATTTCTATCTTAGTGAATAATAAGTCTAAATTAATATCTTATTTTTAATTTATATTTATTTGCTAAAGAGTAGACACCATCATTTCATATTTTATTGAGAATATTTTATCTCCTGTGAATTGTCTTTCTATATATTTTCCTCCATATATTTTGTTATGTTATTTTCTTATCAGTTGAAGTCATCTGTTCATATAATGTGTACCTACCTAATGTCTACTATGTTTCGTGCAAATATTTTCTTCCAGCCTCTTGCTTTAATTTTTAATATTTGTTATTCTTTTTGGTGCATAGCGATTTCAAATTTTACATAGTCAAGTTTGGTTATCTTTTTCTTTGAGAGTTCTTCCACAACCTCCAATCCCATAGAAAGTTATCATTGTCCCAGAGTACTAATAAATATTCAACTTTATTGTCTATTAGTGTTTCTGTTATTGATTTTGCATTTTTAATTCTTTGCTGTTACTGAGGTGTATTATGGGGCCTACAATAAGGATTAAAGTCAAATAAATTATTGCTCATCAATTATATCAGTCTGGTTGCTTAAATTTTTTTCCTCCCCTATTATTTTTTGATGGCTGCTTCTTCATATACTAACATTTTATATACATTTGGTCCATTTCTCAATATTTTATTCGTGTCCATTTATTTAATTTTTATGTTTGCAAAAGTATCATGTTTTTAATTTTTTCCTTACTATAGGTGTTCATATCTGCTAGGGCTTCCCCCAGTTCACCAGTGCTGTGTTCCTTCCAATTTCTAAAAAAATTTATCATTTATTATTTGAGCTTTATTTTAGGATCACTTTCTTTTTCAGATGTTTTTTTAAACCGTGGCAGGAATTTTGGATTTAGCTCAGTCAAAAAATTAAATTGGGGGTAGTTTCAGATTCCACTCATAAATATGTATAC